GCGCCAGAGATTTGGGGTGCAGGAAGTGAGACTCTCGCAGAACCAGGAAGGGGTGGTGCTCAAGCCCCGGCTTTGTGACGCTCCCACACACCCCCAAAATGCCCTTGGGCTCCCAGCCGAGTTTCGAGTGAAGCAGCCCTTGCTGAAGTACTGCCTGTTCTCTTTCAGAGGGAAAAACAACTGGAAAAGAAAAAGCTGGGTGGGGGAAGGCCTCCAGGATGCAGCAATTTTTTTCACTTTCCGAATGGTGAAGCACCTTAACTAGGGAAAGGAGGATTTTATTGTAGTTTTCGGGCCGTTTTTCTAAACAGAACGCGGCATAAAAAGCTGGAAGAAGTGAATCAGATAAAAATCTAAAAAATTGAAGGAATTAGTTATTTTTGATGGCACAACAGCTTTTAAGCATCAACGCTCTTAACAGACTTGTCCATGGCGTTTCAGCATGTGTACTGTCTTTTCCAGAACTCAGTAACTTTTCATAAATCGTAGTGCACTGAAAAGGATAGACGAGCATGCCTTTCTATCTTAAAAGGTAACATGTATCTTAACATTTCCTTAACTAGCTTCCTGCAGTGGGGTCACATTTTGACATTTCACATATTTCATTCAAGATTAAAAATTTTCACTGCCTTAATATGTACAGAAATATGAGTATTTAGTTCCTCTAAAGTCAATTTATTTTAGAGTCCTTATTCATGTATATCAATATACAAACCAGTTTCTTGAAGGGGCCGTGTATTTCAGTAATGTTTTCTAATGTAGGCCTTATTGTTTTTCTTACAATGTTTATGACAGAAATGGGGAGAGATATGTCCTCCAGTTTTAGTTTAGTTCTCTATCTTGGCCTTTTCTTAGACACCCACTTTTACCCTTCTACAATAACTTGTAAATGGATAATAGCAAAATTGTAATTTATACTTAAATATCCCTGCTTGAAAAGATCATACTAATATTAGTGACCAATGGTCCAGGCATTGGTCTGAGTACTTTACACATACATATTCATTTAAACCTCATGATAAGCTATCCGTAGATCCCATTGTTATTACTGTCATACAGAAGCTGGGACTTAAATCCAGGCAGAGACTGTAAGGGGTCCTCTACTTCATCCTATCAACTAGGAAATAGATAAAACAAGGTTAAATGACTTGCTTGAAGAGTTTGAGATGGAGCTTGTATCAGAACACCGGTTAATTTCCTGGTCCTTAAATACTTCTAGGAAAATTTTTTGCAGTTCAGTTGTCCTGAGTGCTTATTTAGAAGAGATTCTCTAGTAATTTATGTTCTATCTGTCCATCTGTTAGCTTTCTGTTACTGTGACAGAATACCAGAGGTAGTAAACTTAGAAGCAGGACAAGTTTATTTTGGCTCACATTTTAGAAGTTCGAGTTCATGGGCTGGGAATTTAGCTCAGCGGCAAAAAGCGCCTGCCTGGCATGCGCAAGGTCGTGAGTTTGGTTCCCGGTACTGGAGAAAAACCAAAAAAAAAAAAAAAAAAAAAAAGAAGAAGTTCGAGTTCATGAACTCTTGACCATTGCTTTGGGCCCTTGGTAGGTAGCACAGCATATCATGATGGGAACATGTTACAGATGAGGCCTGTCCACCTATAGTGATTGAGGATTAAAGAGAGAGAGGAGAGAGCCTTGGTTCCTAATAATCCTTCAAAGGCATACCCCGTGACCTAACTTCCTTCCATGAGGTCCACCCCACCCCCACGGCTCCATCCACTACCTCTCAAAAGCACTGTGGTTAGGGGTCACACCTTTAACTTCTAGGCATTTGAGAGATAGTCAAGATCTAAACAATAGCAAGCACACGAAGATGCACAAAGATGCGAATGAATCAACAGAGATAGCACTGAAATGCCCTTCAGGACTTCAGCCTTTTTTTCACACCCACATTCTTTGTCAGTTCAGTAGATGGCTCCATTTTTCTTTGTTAAAACCCATCTGTGTCCTCTCCTTCTCTAATGTCTCATTAATTTTACAAATCTGTTGGTTTTTCCTTCAGAATACATACAGTGTCTCGCTCACTGCCTCTACTGTAATCTGCATCATCTCTTGTTTGTATTGTTGCAGTAACCCAGCAGCTGTTGTATTCTCACCACTGAAGCCCAAGCATACCTGTGAAAAGGGAAATGAGGTCATACCACTGTATTCAGAATTTCCCATGGCTTCCCAATACAAGAATAAAACAAAAGCCCTTTTACTATAGCTTTTACTATAGCTTTTATAGCTTTCTTCATTACCTCACTGACCTCAGAGAATAGTCACTCAGCTTTGTGTTCCTACAGAACTCTACAGAAGCTCTCAATCATATGTTTATTACAGTTGCTTCTGTCCTCTTCTTTGAGCACTTTTCTGTGATAGCTTGCTCCCTCCATCTGTGCTCAAATACCATCTGTCGGTCTTCTGCTTGCCACGTTTTTTTTAATTTTAAAGCAAAAAAAAAAAAAAATAGGGTAACAACAAAGACAAAACAACACAAAAACAAAAAGGATACAGAATTTCAAAGCAAAATGGTAGGAAATTAACAGTGGTTGTATTACATACAGTTATCTTCATGAAGTTGCTCAGGTTACCAGATGTAGCAATGTAGGATTGATCAAATAATTAAAGAGCATATAAAATAATTAGAAACCATTAGAAATGATACAGAGCTTCAGTAAACAAGATGGTAGAAATTCAAAATGGTTGTTACACTGCATATTGTTTTTTGTTTTTTTTTTTTTAGACAGTCTTGCTATATGGTTCAGGCCTGCCTTGCGCATAATATGTAAGCCAAGCTGGTCTCGAACTTGCAGCAATCTTTTCTCAATCTGTAATGTGCTGGGATTACAGGTGTGCACCACCAATTTTAAATCATGATATTGCCCTTTCCCAAAATTACTATTCCTTTTATTTTCTCTGTAATCTTCACTACAATGTAGCGGATAATTTGATTAACACATTTGTTTATGTTTCTCTTTGTGCTAGAACATAAGACTATTGGAAGCAGGCATTTGGTTGCATTTTGTATCCCCATTGTCACATATAGTGCCTACAATACTTAAAGTGGTTCTCTGACTTGAATGAATGAATCAATATGTATACACATGAGAACTGAATTACATGTAAGTAAATAACAGTGAACTAATTATTGTCAGTAATTGAATTTAAGAGAATTCAATGTATAGACTACTAAACACCTCACCTCTACCAGCCACCAGAAAAAAAAAAGATAGCATCTCTCAACATTGTAAGAACTGTTTTAAAGTAATTGGTTTCCAGTAATTGTTACATGCCCAAACTTTCAAATCATTTACTTAAGGAAATAAATCAGAGCCTAACAGGTTAAAGATATGTCTATAACTATGTTTCTGTCACTGAAATTTTATTTTTATTGACTGGATGCAAGAGTAAGCAGTGGAGCAGACTGCTGGGTACTACCCATTACTTATAATTCAGTGTTTCCTACCAGCTCATGAAATGCTTTCGTGATTACCACACATGTCCTGTAGGTACCCACTCTTCCCTCTGCAATTTTTCAACCACTCAAAATTGTCTTATTTATTTTGTTAAAGGCTCAAAGGACTTTTCTTATTTACTTAATATCGGCAGACATCTATTGGGTTAATAATATCCCTTAGTTATGGCGGGCTGATCAGGTCCACAATCTCCCAAATGAGTGTATGGTGAAGGCTAAATAAAAAGAGGCAAATGGAATGATTTCAGGACTCCAGGAGGATCAAAGCTCTCTCGCAGAATTTGAGGTTCTTTTATGGCTAAGACCATGATCTTCTGTGGCCCGTGTTATTTGATTATCAGAATAAGGGAGGGGAATACTCAAGAAGGGTGGAATCACTCAAGGACTTCTTCAAGTAAGGCATTAAATTAATCCTTAGTAAGAATTAAATTAATCCACCCAGGAGTGAGATGCCTAAGACTATAGTCTTTATCTACTTGAGATCAGATTCAGGTGTACTTGGCTGTGATCTTGTCTTATCCTGTAAGGCTTTCCAGCTTCATTCCCCATTACAGGTTTTAGTAGGGATTAGTGACTCACAGAGGTTCACACACTATGAGTACATTGCCCACTTCCAGACAAGCAGCCTAGGCTTTGAACAGATTCACAAGTAAACATGAAAAGCCAGTTGATTAATT